AGATGAAGCTGGACTGCCCTTGCTCCAATTTCAGGTTGATTTGGCTAGCAAACTGTCATTTGAGTGGGTGGCCATTGCTAAATTACTGAAAACTCAGCACTTTCCCCAAAGTGATTTAATTTGTGAACCAAAACCATTCACAGAAATAAAATCAATCAGTTACTGAAACTATAACCAAACATTAATGAGATACGTACTGTTTGATCTGTCAGAGGAGGGAGAACAATTTGTTTTTCTATTTTGTTAAGAACTAGCTTCCATAGCTCCTTCAAAACTCGTTTCAAGACTGTTTTCTCACATATTTTTGCCGAGAGACTTAATCTGAAATAAAATTAGGCAGACTTTTAAATACTGTCTAAATACCAACTCATTTTTTGACCAAGATTTCTGTTATTAACATTAGGACGCAAATACCAGAATAAGCCTTCATAACTTTTAAATGCTAGGATATATTTACTGAAAAACCAAATAAAACCAATATAATATCAAAAAAATAAATTTTATCCCAGGATCTATTAGATACCAGGTGGACTGGTCATGAGTCTACTTGAGTTTTCATGTGAGTGGGTCCATGTTTACACATGATGCCGTTTGTAAGTCCGAAAGCAACACAGGGCTTTAGGAGAGCTGGCAACATGGGATAGTTTGGACTTGACATACAGGTCAGCAAAGTGATTAACCACTACGGGTAGAAATAGGATTTAGCGTATTTTTTTCCTCAAAGGTGCCCTAAATTGAAGTGGAGAGAGAGGGGGAGAGTGAGCGAAATACTTTTGAAAGCGCACAAAGTAAATGTTTCGTTAAGGGCAAAGGTTTCTTCTTTGTCCTACTTCACAGCCACGGCACCAAGAACAATCTCTGATTCAGTGACTAGGGACTGGCATGAGGGTTGAGAAAATGACAAAAGAACCATATTTTTGTCACCCACCTGCTGGGCAGTTGGTCCTTGAACAGACGGTAGGCCATTTACCTTAAAGGAGCCAACCAAGGCTCTCAAAATAATTCCCATGATCACCATCAGCTTGTGGGTTCGACATGCTTCAGGTTCACAGGGTGAGGCCAAACTCTATGAACTGTCTCTCTCTCTTGTGGGTTTTGGCGGGGTGTGTGTGATGTGACCATGACAAATATTTCCTTGGAGAATTCACAAAATTCCAACTCTAATAAGGTCAGGGTATTTCTGCCAACTGTTCTTCATGATAAGATGAGAACAGTAACTAGCAATTTGTCCAGACAATCCCAGAATGACAGATGAAGTCTGTTCCCAACTGCTGGAGAATGTGTAGGTCATTCTAAACGGGCGCTTTAGTTTTACTGAAGTGCAAAGAGGATTGCTGGTGCTAAGCAGCGCGCTAACCATAATGTCAATGGCTTCAATGCAGCAGCCATTCCTGTGGAATGGAAAAGACCAGGCTGTTTGCTCCTAGAAACATGCAGGTCTTAGAAACCCTAAGGAGCAGTTTCTCCCTGTCCTATACGGTCAGCATGAGTTGGGGTCAACTCGATGGCGGTGGGCTTGTTTCTCCGTGCAGGGATAAGGAGCCCTGGTCATGCAATGAGTTAAGCATCTTGGTTACCAATTGAAAGGTCAGGGATCTGAACCCACCAGCTGTATTGCGAGAGCCATCTGCTTCCACAATAATGTCCTGCGTCAGAAATCCTACAGTGCAGTGCTCCTCTATCCTGATGTGTCGCTGTGGGTCAGAAGGGACTAGAAGCTAATAGGTTTGGCACGTTGGGTAGTGCACAGAGAAACGAAGTCTTTTCTGTGATGTAAAGACACACACAACGCAGTGAAGTTGTGACAAAGAACCTGCTGTTATACGGGGTCGGTTCAATGATTTCACCAAAAAACTTCAACAAAACTCACTGTCTTCCAGTCCATGCAGAATCATAGCAACTCTACAGGGCAGAGTAGACCTACCCTTGGGAGTTTCTGAGGCTGTAACGCTTTATGGGAGTAGAAAGCCCCAGATTCCTCCC